ATGGTGTAGCGGTTAGCACTTTGGACTCTGAATCCAACTATCTGGCGCAATCAAGTGTCAGCAGGAACTTCGGCAGAACTTCTTGTCTAACATTATCCAAGGTTCTTTCATGTTGTTCGGCTCAATTCACTCATATTTAGGACAGTACATGGTTTGGAAACTTCGCCTAAATGCAAAAATACTCAATATCGCTGCTTATGTCCAGGTTTAGGCAAATATATGTTTCTTGGACGGATTTTCGTCCAGACAACCAGTAATTGTGCTTGGACTTAGTTATCCATGAGTGACTTGAACAATGAGTTAATTTAAACATAGCCATTGGTTGATATGGCAAGAATGCAATAGGGACGTGGCGACGTAGGATCAGATACTTCCACTAACCCAGACAAACATAGTTATTAACCATAATGAGTTGCATTGTAATTCAGTCGCCAAAGTTTCCAAACCGTGTATTCTACTAACTCCGTAGTTTTAGATTTTCCATTGTGTCGAAAATATTTAATTGTCATTAGGATTGCGTCTTTTCCGAAGCCCCCTATTTTGCAAGGGGAAAAAGCCAAGAAAGTTCTAGGGATCTATTCTTTGGATTGCTTCTATGAATTTCCGAATTTTCGCTCATCTGGAAGAGTCGCTTTTCATAAGAAATAGCAAATACCACCGAGAGACATTTACAATGCGCACATTTCTCCCCTAGGTCGGCAGAGGGCATCCTTACTACTTTTACTTTCACTCTGTTTATGTAAATGACAAATTACTTAACTATTATATCATAATTTTACGCGAAATATGATATGTTGACCCCTGAATTTCCAGATTCATCAAATATACACAGCTGGACGATTCAGGACAACGAGCAGGGTAGCGCAGTGGAAGCGCGCTGGGCGCACAACCTAAAGGTCAATAAATCGAGACCACTTCCTGCTACTATTATCTGCCAGTGCACTATCTTCCGAAACAGGGAATTTCCTGCATGCATCCACGCTATACATATATATATATATATATATATATATATATATATTTATATATATATATATATATATATATATATATATATATATATATATATATATATATATATATATATATATATATATATATATATATATATATGACTGAGCCAATTTTCTCTAGAGCCCAACATTTATATAAATCAATCAATGATGCATCAGAGCTCGTGGCTACTACTAAAAAGCGATACAGCGGTACAACGATACAGCGATACAGGAACCGGAACCTGGAACCGGAACCGTGCATAATTTATTAAAATTAGAGCATTTTGCACCACAGGAGATATACATAATAATAATTGGGGCGCAATTCAAAGATAGTATAAAATATTACATGCAAAGCATTTATTTTGATTAAACAAAACAAAGAATGAACATTTTTGTAGCACTACATATTACGAAGTAAAACATGCTTCGACAGCTTCGTAATTGCGCGGCGATTCTTTTTGTCTTCTTTGATATGACTGCATGTGACACACTTAGTTTATTTAGCCGCCGCACTTGATTATGAAATGCCAGCAGACAGAGAAGGAAACTACGGCACGCAAAGCAGATTGCGCTGAATTCAGCAGCAATTTATTGTGCGCTAAAGTAATAAGAGTGTAGTGTAGTGTATGAAGTAATCCAACATTGAATGTACTATAATATACGCTGCGAACACGCGAATATTATTCATTATTAAATATATTTTTGACATTGAAGTTACCTTCATAAATTCATTCATGTTTGTGATTAGTTGATGTTCAAGCGGATATTTTTAGCATGCAGTATGCCAGCATATTCGCGTATTCGCAGCGTATATAGCACATTCAATGTTGGATTGCATTATCACACTACACTCTAATTACTTTAGCCCACAATTGCTGCTGAATTCAGCGAAATCTGCTTTGTGTGCCGTGGTTTCCTTCTCTGTCTGCGGGCATTTCATAATCAAGTGTGGCGACTAGCTAAATCACTAAATAAACTAAGTGCGTCACATGAAGTCATATCAAAACAGACAAAAAGAATCGCCGCGCAATTACGAAGCATGTTTTACTTCGTAGTTCGTAATGTGGTGTTATAACGATGTTCATTCTTTGTTTCCGCTTTAGTTTACTGAAAAAATCAAAGTAAATGCTTTGCATATAATATTTTATACTATCTTTGAATTGCGTCCCCCCCTGTAAATTATTATGATGTATATCTCCTGTGGTGCAAAATGCTCTAATTTGCATAAATTATGCACTGGTTCCAGGTTCCGGTTCCTGCATCGCTGTATCGTTGTATCGCTTTTTAGTAGTAGCCAGAGCTCGTATAACAACTTTTTATTACGTTTCGGGCCAACCCCTTCTTCAGATTACATGTGTACACTTGATTTCAAATATTTAAGCTGTCCATACCCTAATTATGATAATTCGCTTGATTAATTCTATTGTTCAAACAAAGTCTTTTAAATTCAACCCATGCGGTTCACACGAATTTAGTTTATAAGCCCAAAAACCTTCCCTTGTGTGGGACATGCAACATTAGTTTTGTCAATAATTTTAACTTTCGCATCTTGCATACCATTATGACCTAGATAAAAAAAATTAGCATACAAATGCTCGCCTGCCATACCCCTTTCACCTGTCCCATATCTATTCATGCTACTTTTGTGGTTGTTAAATCGTTTTCTAAAACTAGTAATTGTTCTCCCCACATACTTTTTCCAACATTTTCTGCAATAAATCAAATTAATCACCCCAGCCGAATTGCAATCAAAATTGTAATTAATGTAGTATTTTAATTTTCTTTCGAAAAATTCTTTCCCCTCATCTACATAAGAAAAGGTTTTTGGGCTTATAAACTAAATTCGTTTGAACCGCATGGGTTGAATTTAAAAGACTTTGTTTGAACAATAGAGTTAGTTGAAATCAAGTGTACACATGTAATCTGAAGAAGGTGTAGTGACTGACAATGACCGCTGACCACATGGACTGTGTTATGGGAGAAAGGACATGTGTTAGGAAGACGATCGAACAGGCTAGAAAGTTATTGTAAAGTTTATATTCACGTTATTTTTCATTATTATGTTCTATGCATAAAATAAAGGACACAACAATGGCGTAGTCGGCAGAGCCCGCCTCCGCAATCATTCTTCAAGCAATTTGATATCCTCAACTGACGTTCTCGAACAGAAACAAACTATTTTCGTCGCATCAAAGTTAAGATAATTTCGCAATGGATTTCGCTACCCCAGCAAAGTTCGACGTGTACGACGAACCAAACAACGTGGCTCATCGCTGGGAAAGGTACGTGAAATCAGTCAAAATCTATCTCGCCGTAAAAGGGATAAACGCTGCTCCACAACAAAGAGCAATCTTACTTCACTGTGCAGGCAGCGACGTTCAAGACATTGCTGAGAATAACATTACGGACACGGGAACGGACTTTGCAACTTTAACAAGGAAACTCACCGAATATTTCGCAGCCCAAAACAATGTCGTCTTCGAAAGATACCAATTTCGCCAACGTACACAACTAGAGGGCGAAAAAGTCGATTCTTGGCACACCAGACTTCGCATTAAAGCCCGAATGTGTGAATATGACAACCAAACTGATAGTATAATCCGAGATCAAATTGTCGCTTGTTGTTCTTCCACTAAACTCAGGCGTAAACTGTTGGAAACTCCAAACATTTCCTTGCAAGAGGCACTAAAGACCGTTCACTCGAAGCCGCTGAAATGCACGCTAAAGCCATCGAAAAAAGCGAGATAAGCGAAAATAACAACCCAGAAAGCAGCTCCGATGAACTCTCGAGTCTTCGTCAACACCGGAAGCCGAGCGACAAACGCAAAAAGGAACCGGACTGGGTCGAGCGCGCCCGGAAACAGGAACAGCAACAAACTCGGAAATTACCGTCACATGAGACATGCTACCGTTGTGGTGAACTAGGACATCGAATATGTGATGAAGCCCGAGGCAAGACATGTAGTCGTTGCGGAAAGAGAAATCACTTCGCAAAGGCATGCCGAAGCACCCAGGGGCCACCGGCAGGTAATGACGAAATGAGTGCGTTACACCGGGGGGAGACTGCTGTTGAATTCGCAAAGTATGTTTCACGCGATAGCAGCGAAGAGGAAATTTTCACCCTACAAGCTCCCCACCCCGATATCAACAAAAACAATGCTAGAATGTCTCTCCTACTCAATGGTTTCCCCACAACATTGCTCGTTGACTCGGGAGGCAGCGTCAACGTGCTCCCCTTACATGTATACCAGAAAGTCAAACAACTGGGTTCCAAGCCGGAGCCTACGTCCACATGTATCTACCCATACGGCAGCAGTCAACCTCTCAAGATTTTGGGCGTGTGTCACATCACTGTGGATGCATTTGGCAAAAAGTCCTCAGTAGAATTTGTCATCGTCAACCATAAGGGCACCACCATCCTGGGCAGAGACACGTCCATGGAAATGGGCATTCTTCATGTGGGACCACCCAATCACCAGACGCACGGCCTGCACAGCCTAGCGTCTGAGCAGGAGAACACAGCAACCGAAATCCACACAGATGCAGCAGCGTCCAAAGTCACATCAGATCCTCGTTACAGTCCCTCTCCCACAACTGAAAAACAAAATCCTATCCCTGAATCAGAATCATTGCCCACGTCGCTACGACAGAAGAATATAATATCCTTTCCAAGTATCGCAAGGTCTTCGTGGGACGTGGCCGCGTAAAAGGCGTTGAAGTCGAAATACGTATAAAAAAAGGTACCACCCTCTGTTGTGCATACGTGGCAGTTCACACGTGGCAGTTCACTTACGAGAGGCGCTGAATAAAGAGCTCGACATCCAAGAGTCACTTGCCATCATTGAGCCAGTAGAAGGCCCAACACCTTGGGTGTCACGTATCGTGGTCGTCCCGAAGTCTACGCCAGGCGAGGTTCGGATCACACAGGACTGGCGCGACGTCAACGCACACGTCGAACGAGAGATCCAGCCCATACCCACATTTGAAGAAGCCACAGACGAAATGGGCAGTTCTACCATCTGGTCAAAGCTGGACATGTTCAAGAGTTTCCACCAAATTGCATTGCATCCAAACTCCAGAAAGTACGCTACTTTTTCCACACCAAGGGGTCTCCGCAGATGTACCACTCTGGTAATGGGATTCACCAACGCTTCAGAAATCCTCCAACGAGTAATGAGCATGGTATTGTCAGGTATGCCCGGTGTAAGATGGATTCACGATGACATAACCATCTACGGTCGCACGGTACGAGAGCACAACGAGCGTCTTGCGCATGCCTTCACCGACTGCAGCAATATAACATCACCCTCAACAAGTCAAAGTGCATTTTTGGGGTCGACAAAGTCACTTTCATGGCCATGCAGCTATCCTCCAAGAGCATCCAACCTTCTCAACAGAAAGTTGACGCAGTTAAATACTTTAAACCCCCCAGCAACGTATCCGAAGTGAAGAGCTTTCTCGGTCTCATCAACTTTCTCGCTCGATTCACGCCCAACCCTGCCACGGAAGCGGAACCCCTCCGACGCCTCACACGCTCAGGTAATAAGTGGATCTGGGGACCAGATCAGCAGAAATCCTTCCAAGGCCTGGAGAACAGCATCTCGCGGGCCTCATGCCTTGTCTTCTTCGACAAAGATCGTAAAACGGAGCTTCGAGTAGACGCCTCGCCTGTGGGACTGGGAGCCATTCTGTGTCAAATCCAGGGAAATGGAACTTCGCGACCAGTTGCCTACGCTAGCCGGTCGCTAAGCGATGTCGAGCGACGCTACAGCCAGATCGAAAGGGAAGCACTCGCCGTCAAATTCAGTTGTTTGAAGTTCGACCACTACCTCAGCGGCGACCCAGATTTCACCATCATAACAGACCATAAGCCACTGCTTGGTCTCTACAAGCCCGGGTCCCGATCTCCTCCACGCATCGAGCGTTGGGCACTGCGCATTCAACATCTCAATTTTCGACTTCGTTACGAACCGGGTCCAAAGAACGCAGCCGATGTATTTTCACAACAGCCGACTCCACCCCGAGCTCACGTCAATCCCAGCGAACACGCGGATACCAGAATGATTAATGCCATCACCACAGCGTCACTTCCACGAGCCTGCACCATCACAAGTAAAAGAAGCCACAACGAAAGACGCGAAGCTTCAAACAGTCCTCAAGTCTCTCCAGTCAGGCACCTGGAACAAAGACCTTGGTCTCTTGTTTAGCCATCGAAACGAATTTTCCTTCTCTGACGGGGTCTTGCTCAGAAATAACCGCATAGTTATCCCTCGGTCCCTACAACAAAGAGTTTCGAGCTTGCTCACCAGGGGCAACAAGGCGTAGCCAAGACGAAAGCCCGTTTGCGTACTAAGGTATGGTGGCCGGGAATGTCAACGGAGGCGGAAACATTCGTGAAACGGTGCCAGCCTTGTCTTGTAGCGACTGAGCCAACAAAACTTAGTTTCACCCCACTGAAACCCACCACCCTCACAAAAGCAGCCTGGTTATTGATAGGGATGGATTTCGTAGGCCCATTTCCCACCGGAGAAAACCTGTTGGTGCTAGTCGACTATTATAGTCGATATCCTGAAGTAGAAATCATGAAGCATATCACGACTGCTGCCCTGGAACCGCGCCTTCGTCGAATTTTTGCCCGCTACGGAGTACCCCAGGAAATTGTCACGGACAATGCCAAAACTTTCCGGTCATCCAGGTTCTCTAACCTTATGAGAGAATTTGGTATCAAGCACAAAAAAATAACTCCCCGGTATTCACGTGCGAATGGCGAAGCAGAACGGCTCAACCGCAGTATCAACAAAGTGGTCAAAACCGCAATAGCCGAGTCACGGGACTGGCGTAAGGCCATCGACGCTTGGCTGCTGGCTTATCGTACCACGCCCCATACGGTCACCGGTCAGCCACCAGCAGCCATAATGTTCGGACGAAACGTCAACGACAAGCTTCCATCACTACAGCCGTCAGCGCCCATAAACATCAACCGTAGGTCATACCGACAGCACGACGCCAACAACAAGCAAAAGGGGAAGTGCTACCACGACATTAAGAAGAAAGTGCAGCCCAGCTCAATTAAAGTCGGCGATCAGGTCCTTATCCGTTCGGAAAAGAAAGGCAAAGTAGCACTACCGTGGCGTGCCAATACGTTTCGTGTCACCGCCGTCAAGGGCGACTCCATCCTAATCGACGATGGAAATCACCGCCTCATGCGCCACTCTACGGCTGTTAAGAAAGTGCCAATAACAGTTACAACTGTCCCAGATGTTCCAACAACACCTCCAGAAACAATTGTTGCTCAACGACCTCGTCGCTCTATAAAACGACAACCAGACTATTACGGTTATAGTTCTACCGCATGATAGGTTTCTAATCCATGAAGGGGAGAACTGTAGTGACTGACAATGACCGCCGACCACATGGACTGTGTTATGGGAGAAAGGACATGTGTTAGAAAGACGATCGAACAGACTAGAAAGTTATTGTATAAAGTTTATATTCACGTTATGTTTCATTATTATGTTCTATGCATGAAATAAAGGACACAACAGAAGGGGCTTGCCCCGAAACGTAATACAAAATTGTTATATGAGCTCTGATGCATCATTGATTGATTGATTTATATATATATATATATATATATATATATATATATATATATATATATATATATATATATATATATATATATATATATATAGCAGTAACTTTGTTACAAAATCAAGGGAAATATCTTGCATGATGGGTTTCTAGATTCGCGAAATATATATAACTGGCCGATTGCAAAGAACAAGAAGCAGGGTGGCGCAGTGGAAGCGTGCTGGGCCCATAACCCAGAGGTCAGTGGATCGAAACCATTTCCTGCTATTATTATTATGGAGGGTTTATGCATGCCGAAGGTACCAACCATTTTCTTATGAATACAATAGGTTTCGAAAATATTAAGGCCTTTTTCACGACCTGTTACCGTCGCATGTTCGCAATGCTCTGTGCTTATAAACTGTATCACCGTTACTACTTATTTCGACTGTGTATTGCTTGTCGTACTATGAAGATACCAATTTGATTCGCGACTAATATATTGATTAGTGTTCTTTGAAAAAAGTTTACAATGACCGATGTATCTTGAAACGGCTTTGTCTTTGCAAATGGAATGAAATAAGAGAAATCTCAAAAATAAACGTAATTTGTATACCATTTGGATTGTCTGCCATGAATACTCCAAATACAAGTCCTCTCCAGAGTGACATACATCCAGGTTCATAAGAGAGGCGACGAATTATTAAACAACTGGCAGCGGTGGGATTCGAACACACGTCATCCAAATGACTGGTGCCTAAAACCAGCGCCTTAGACCACTCGGCCACTCTTCCGAAACAAAGTAAAGTCACTTTAGTTCAATAATATGAGTCCACAATCCTTTAAAATTCTGTGGTGTAGCGGATAGAACTTTGGACTCTGAATCCAACTATCTGCAATCAGGTGTCGGCAGAAACTTCGGCAGAACCTCAAGTGTAACATTATCTAAATTTCTTTTATGTTGTTTGAATGATTCAGCACAAGGAGCAGTGTGGCGCAGTGGAAGCGTGCTGGGCACATTACCCAGAGATCAATGAATCGAGACCATTTCCTCCTTTTATCCGCTAGCGAGTCTAGTACTAATCATCCGAAAGAACAAGTTTCGAAAATAATAGGTGCGTTATCGGGACCTGCTCTCGTGGGCCAGTTGGTTAGTGCGTCGTACTTATAGGCAGTACTTGAGTATATGCAAAGTTCGAGGGTTTGATCCCCTCCGAGAGCAAGTTTTTAGGCATCCATACCTATCTTTCTCTAACCAACAAGCCACGGCAGCAATTCGTCTTATTAAATGTCTTTATTATTTACGAAAACTTGTTATTTTGAAAAAATTCGTACACCAACTATACACTAGCAAACAAAGACACCGTAGCAGTTTGTCCTAATCGCCATATCATTTACGAAACCTGTTGTTTTGAAAACAATTTTAACCAAAACGCTATAGGGTGACATATGCACTCTTGAGCGCTCAATAATTGCTGGGCCCATAACCCAGAGGTCAAGCAGATCGTGATCATTTTCTGCTATTATTATCAATCATTATTAAAGTCGAGGGTTCGATCCCCTTCGGCAGCACGTTTTTAGCAATCCTTCTCTAACCAACAGGACCACCGCAGCAATTCGCCCTAATCTCCATATTATTTACGAAATCTGTTGTTTTGAGGAAAAGGTTCGACAAAAATCCGTGGGTGACATCTGCATGCATCCACGGTCAATAATAACAATAGCTATTGATTGCTTGGTTGTGTGGCCAGTAGGTTCTATATTGTAACAATTTCTTGTCTGTTTATAATCTATTTTATTGAATTGGTGCAGTGGCTTCATTACAAGTTTAAGGGAAATATGTTGCTTCCTGATTTTCTAGATTTGGAAAATGTATACAACTGGCTGATTCCAAGCACCAACCTGCAGGGTGGCGCAGTGGAAGCGTACTGGGCTCATAATCCAGAGGTCAATGGATCGAAACCATTTCCTGCTATTATTATTATTATTATTATTATTATTATTATTATAATAATAATAATATTAATAATAATAATAATAATAATAATGGAAACTTTAATAATTTTGTTATATACTATATATATACAATTGTAAATCTTACTAATTTAAGGTAATAATAATAATAATAATAATAATAATAATAATAATAGCAGGAAATGATTTCGATTCATTGACCTCTGGGTTATGGGGCCAGCACGCTTCCACTGCGCCACCCTCCTTGTTGCTGCTAGGAATCAGCCAGTTGTATACATTTTCTAAGTCTAGAATATCAGGAAGCCAAATATTTCCCTTAAACGTGCAATGAAGCCGCTGCACCAAGTCATTGGAATAGATTTTAAAAGAGACATGAAAGTGCTACACTAAACTATAGAGCCTACTGGCCACATAACTCAACAATCAATAGCTATTGCTATTATTGAGCGTGGATGCATGCAGACGTCACCCACGGATTTTGATCGAACTTTTTCTCAAAACAGCAGATTTCGTAAATCACATGGAGATTAGAGCGAATTGCTGAGGTGGTCTTGTTGGTTAGGGGAGGATTGCTAAAAACTTGCTGCCGGAGAGGATTGTTGTGTTTCGTATTTAGTTTATTAGGATTGCCATATAATATCAACGATTACAAAGAATAAGTTTACAAACTATATTGGGCCTTTCGCCATGTTTTTATATAAGCCTGCATAATGTTATCACGTGTTCTTGTGTCCTTATATTTATGTTACATGACGTAACAATATATTACTTACATCCCTCTTTCCCTTATAACAAAACAAAGTCAATGTCAACTATAATTAATAAAAATATTGTTCTTAGTATCATGCAGTTCATGCGTAATAGTCTGGTGGTTTTACCACTCGTCCACTTCGAGTTGTTACTCTACCTGACGTGTTGTTGCTGTTGTCAGGATTGTTGCTGTTGTCAGGATTGTTGGTGGTTGTGCTTGATTGTGGCGTAGATGGTAATTCTCTCAGGTGGATTCGGTTGCGCCTCAATTCCCCTGTTGGTGTGTCGACTTGGTAAGATTTTGGGGGTATTGAAAATCTTTTCCTTTATGGTTGCTGGACTCCATTTGCCAGTCGACGGATTTTGGACACTCACAGATTGTCCTGACTGTAGAGCAGGAAGAGGTTTCACGTGTTGATCATGATATTGTTTTTGCTTTTCCTGCCTTTGCTCTAATCTGGTTATAATGTCATCACTATTGCGATCCCTGGTAATTTTCCGCGGTAAATTGTCTTTAAGTTTCCTTTTCATGAGCAGTTCTGCTGGTGATGGTAACGTATTGTCTATCGGTGTGGAGCGCAAGCAAAGGAGAGCAATGTTCGGGTCAGTTTCGGTCTTCTTAGCTTTAGCTAATATTGCTTTCACTGTCTTCACTTGACTTTCAATGTACCCGTTACTTCGGGGATAATGGGGTGAACTTGTTACTATCTGGAACCCGTATTCATTAGCAAATTCGCGATAGTCCTTGCTGGAATAATGTGGACCGTTATCAGAACGAACGACTTCTGGGATTCCTTGTTCGCTGAATATGTGCTTTAGGATCGCTATAATGGTCTTGCTGTTGCTCTGCCCTTTTTGGATTTTCCTCACAAATGGGTACTTGGAGTAATAATCGGAAACAAGAAAATATTCTGTGTTATCAAGATAGAACAGATCAGTGGCAATTGTATGCCAAGGGCGAGGTGGTATCTCTGTTGGGATGAGTGGTTGTCGGGTTTGCGTTGGTTGGAATTCTTGGCAGGTGCGACAAGATTTGGTTATTTTGTTGATATCTTCGTTCATATTTCGCCAAAAGACGGATGTTCTGGCACGAAGTTTTGTTTTCTCTGCACCTTGATGTGCTGCATGAAGTTTTCCAAGAATTTCGACTTGAAGGGTTGATGGTATAATGATTCTTTGCCCTTTCATGAGTATTCCATTTTCAATACTAATTTCGTCTCTGTAGCACCAATATGGTTTGAGAACTTGTGGAACTTCTTTAATTGATGTTGGCCAGCCTTCGTGCACAATCGTTTTGAGCATCATTAGCTCCTGATCAGAAGTTGTTTCTAGTTTGACCTTCTCGATCATTTCGCTGCTAAACTGTGGGCAAACTTCGTGAATTTCCACGTTCATATCTTTCACTGGGTTCTTTTCTTCGGGGCCATATAATATCAACGATTACAAAGAATAAGTTTTACAACTATATTGGGCCTTTCGCCATGTTTTTATATAAGCCTGCATAATGTTATCACGTGTTCTTGTGTCCTTATATTTATGTTACATGACGTAACAATATATCACTACAGGTGGGGGCAACATACTGTAAGGTTCGAGCACATTACCCTGATCCAGGAAATCCTGGCCACTGCATGTTCGTGTTCAAGACTCCGAATACGCTCAATGATGGACAACAACAACCTGTTGATAATTCCACCCCTAGAGCCAATTTAAAATGTTTTAAAGACGGTGCCATTTCATCTGGCGCTAGTGAGATGAAAGAAGCAGCAGATTGGTAGTTTTGTTGAGGAGAAGCACTTGAGTATATCAGACATCTTGAGAAACTGCAAATTCTATCTATGATAAGAGAGAATTCCGGATTGTACTCCTTCGATTCCGAATTCTAGAGGGGGGGCATTGAAAATTTTAAAAACTTGGGAGGGGGGGCATCAAAATTTACCAATAACCTCAACAGGGGCCCTGTAAAAATATGAGCTTTTTTCAAGACATCTTCATCCCCCTCCCTCGGTGTAATAAATGTACTTTCCC